TAAAATGAAAATAGATAAATAAAATAGAATTAATAATAAGAATAGGAAAAGATGTGAATGTTTGGAAATACAAAGGAAGGAAGGAAGTATATGAAAATAATAAAAAAATGTATTTTTGTTGAAGCTAGACAATCATGAAGATATGTAAAACAACTTGTTTCACATTTGTTCCCAACGAGTCTTTTCCCAAATATATCCTGCAGTCACGATTTGCTGATTTCATTAAGGCGCCTACTTACACTTCTGAATGTCTTCATCAGCAATCATATCTCAAATCATGAGAAAACTGTTTCTATCTACTTCGCTACATGCGATTGGAATTAGACATTAAAAAAAACATCGGTAAAAGAAAAGAAACTATCGGCAGATATTCTCTCATTTAAGACAACTTATCTTGTAAACTTTAAAGAGAAAAACGTTGTTGATCCTGTTGCAAAAATGATTATGCTTCTTTCGAGTTCGATCCTTACCATATGCATGAATGATCAAGATTGCTAAGATTGTTTCCATTCAACAAGTAACAAATATCTACAAATGTAAAAGACTTTTTACTTATTATTGGCTTTGAATATTCTTCTTAGAATTCAAACATTTATGAAGCAGACATGAGAAAACTTTTAAAGTTTTGATTAATTAGTAAATGCATAAATAATCTGCACCAGTTTTTGTAAGAAAAAAATCCAAGAACTCTTTCTGCTTCTTGTCTTCTTTATGAACAAATTGCAAAATTAACATGTTAATGGCGGCATAAAATTCGTTTTTAATTAAATTCTTTGAATTTTTAATAACTGGCATTTTCAAAATATTTACCTGAAGATTTCTTATATATTGATCATACTTTATTAATAAATACCGCAAAACAATATAACCTGATCTTGTAAATAAACAGCATCGAAAATTTATTTCAGTCATTTCACCAGAAACAAGGCAATAAATCCACTAAAACGCAAGGGATTACTGAGTGTAAGAGAATATGAGAAAAACACTATTAAGGAAAGGTAACGATAAAAGAACAGGAATTAAAAAGTAGAAGATATCGATTGATATTGCATTTAGATTTTTAAATGTCAAAGTTGACTGGGAATCAAGAGAGAGTTTCAGACTCGAAAAATGTGAGAAAAGAAACTGTTAGCATAGCACTTACGGCTTCATCTAGTAATTTCAAATTAAAATAAGACCTGATAAATGATAAGAGTTTTATCAAGAATCTCAAAATACATGGCAGAAGTACCAGAATAGATGTGGAGGCAATATGGAAGACTTATGAATATGTAAAATAGATTCTAGCAAGTAGAATGTTCTATTAAGGCAAAGTGAACCAACTTTCCTAGCAGCAGACCTACCAATTGATTCAATAAAATCAATATGAACAGCAGATCTACCAAATGATTCAATATAATCATTTCAGTTCATGCGAGGGGAAAACGTAAAACATACAATTGAATTTACTTATAAACCAGAAGCATACAATGCATTGCTGTTTCTTGATTTCATATAAAACCGCACTGATAACGACTGAAGACCAACTAACAAAATTGATCTCATAAATTTGTACTAACATCGCAAAAGCAAAAAAAAAATTCTGTCTGAATTTCTGGATGAGGAATTATTATTATTATTTACATTATTTATGTTTGGTGGTAACAACAAAGTTGAGGACAATATTCAAAATATAGTGTAAGTAGCAAAAATAATATTCGGTAATTATAGAATTCTACTTAAGGACACTTAGAAACTTTTCCCCTAAGTATTTACATTAACAAGATAAATGTATTGAAATTGCTTTGAAACTTATCCAATATCGTAAATGTTTCATGTTAAAATTAGGATCTATCAAAACAAAAAAAAAATAACGTAAATAGCCTTGATACAAAAATAGGTGCGTAATACAACCGACCAACTCAATACCAAATACAACTGAAAAGAATTTATATAAGCTTAATATAAAATTTGTCACAACTACTTAAGAAAACAATACGAAATTTAATCAATAAAAACAAAATAATTACAACATTAAACCTGAAGCATAAACATTACAAGCTAGACGGCAAAAAATAATATATAGGAGTTTATCTACGAATTTAAATAAAAGGCTATGCGAACATAAAAGGGATCTTTTGCAAACTGCATTTGTCACTAATCGTAATATGGCTGAGCATAATTTTGACTTAAAGTATGCAGTTTTTTTCTAAAGATAAATTTCTGTCCAGGATCATACGACATATCTCCCTTCATAACTAGTTACTACTACTACTACAATATGGTATCACTTGATACAGTAAAAATGAAAAATTTAAAATTTAGCATCCCTGAAAATGTATCGTTTCGATATAAACTGTACACAGCATTTGTGATATATCTCGCATCACCATATTTATATATAAGACTGATTTCGTCCATAAAACGCTTATTATTTACATATTTTCCTACTTGGAACAAAACACATCACGATTAATTTTCATTGCATTTTTACATTTATTTATTCAATGTTAAACTGAAAAGAGATATTTTTGTATCACAGAATAAAGTGCAAAATGATGTAGCTAGATTTATAAATATTCCCCTAGATTATAGTAACTTTTTCCTCATAATATTAACATGAATTTATATATATATATATATATTTTAATTAAGGATTTTTGTCTATTTTTTTCTGTTTTACATTAAAAGCTTAAATATTAATCAACCAATTTTTGAGAAATTTCGGCATTCATAAGGAGGTTTTGTTGGTTTCATCATTTTCCAAATATCCCATCTTTACGTGACATATCAATTTTTTTAAATGTAACTTTATTTGTCAGTTTGTCTTGTACTGTCATTTCTTTTATTTATAAAATATATTTAGTATGTTTTTTCCAAAATTTGATAAAATTTAGTAAATAGGTCTTGACTGATTTTATTATACTTAATTCTTGTAGTATTTTAGTTGTAATTTTTGTATCGTTTATGTGTTAGGTGATCGTTTATTTTTGTGATTTGTAATACATACACACACACACACACACACACATATATATATATATATACAAAATTGTGCGTTATTTTTAGAATGTTTTGGAATAGACGCTCCGTTTTTTATTTTACTTTAAACAGTGTGTATTACATGTATCATCCTGCGTACCTGAGAAAACGTAGGAAAAAATCCTCTCCTCAACTGAGAAGGTCGATAATTCACACTGTTTAAAATAAAATAAAAAACGGACCGTCTATTTCAAACACGGTTGTCCACGAAAATAACTTTTTAAGTAATACAAATGTCGTATTAATAATAAATCAAATATTTTTTCTGAGGCAAAGCTAAGTAAATACTCATAGTTTTAAATGATATACATCTTATCTTAAATCTCTCAACCAAATATGATATTAATTTGGTAGAAAAACACTAATGCTTTTTAATGGAAGAAGAAGACAATCACTAGCACTACTGATAATGTATAAAACCTGGTGTTGAGTAACTCTTCGTCCAACGACTGCTCAATATTTGAAACTGGAAAATGTTTCAGTTAAACTTGATTGATTTCCTTATTTTTACACTTTCCTTGACAAATTGAACAAGCCGTGTGTTTAGTCTTCTCTCGCTAAAAGTATCTGCACATGTTCCTCTACACAAATTGTTTATCTTTCCAATTTGTTTTCCAGTCTTTCGTATGTGTTTTTTATTCAGGTTCTTTCTCCGTCTTTCGTGCCTGAAAAGAAAACCAGGAAATCACCAAGAGCTTCCGTTTTCTGGAATTGTAGGTTGATAGCTTGATTTCCTCAACAGCATCTTTTATGCACTGATACCATATCTGTGCTCGCTGAAAGAGAGTGGGCACAACTACATATATTTTGGCTTCGCTTAATGTCTGTGTATAACAAATCGAGTGTTTCCCCAGCATCTTGAACTATGATACCAAGATTACACTTTTTCATAGTTCCATCCTATTGAGAATGCAATACTATTTCCTTTGCGACGAAAAAGGTATAGTAATTCTGTGTGCATCACTTAAAACATGTAGTAATATTTCTTTCCACTTTACAAACTATGTTACTTTTAAATGCTGACAAATACTGCGTGTATACGATAAACGTTCAATAAAGTTTTATTTACGTTAGCTAAGTCTAAAACTCTGTTCTTCACTAACACAGATATTCATTTTAAATATACAGTGATATATTTATAATTTCAATCATAGGCTATAAAATTGTTTTTACGTATGACCTATGAAGTATTTTAATCCCCATAACCCTAGAACTTTAATTAAGTGGTTAGTGGTTGTTATTCCCCAAATAAATGGTTATAATAAAAATTACTACATTTAGCCGAAAGAAATATTTGAAGTGTAAATAACAGAATTATTATTTTTTTTTAACTGGAAAGCCTGATACAATGTTAACACTAAATATGATAATAGTAATTTGAAATATATAGAAGATTTTTGTCATACATCTATAGGAACACTTTACCTTTTGAATGTAAACAGATATTTTATCATGTTATGTACGATTTCCTTCCTTCCCCGTGATCTTTGCGTGTATAGAAATGTTTATTTAACTGAAAGAATGCTCACTTTCTTTCTTCCTATATTTTGACATTCTGGTGAAGTTAAAGAAGGATCGGGTTCATGTGTTTTCTAATAGAAATAGCACAGAATGACTATTTCATAAGCTTCTGTAATCTCAAGGTGATATTAAAGGAGTATCAATAAGGGTTAAAATAACTTCATTGGTTAATTATTCTGCAATACAAGCTAATCTCTGCGTTGCAATAATCGCCTAATAGCAGAGATATATCACTAGAAGCATGGTTTGTTTTTAATAATTAAGATTTATATGTTAAAGATTGTCTTTCACCTTTTGTTTCAACTTTTGGAATGGGAAACTACCAGGAGGTTTACATGAGATAATATCAACGTTTTATTTTTCTGTTTAATTCTCCGGTTATCGTCAGGTAAATTTGATGTATAGAATTTTTAAAATTTCCTTCAATTACAATTTTGGTTATTCCTGTGCATTCTGGTTACGGCCACATAACGTTGAAACACCTGTTCTGGTACGATCACCGATGTTAAGCAAGGTCGAACCAAGTCAGTACCTAGATGGGTGACTGATTGGGAATACCAGGTGCTGTAAGCTTGGATGTGCGAATAGGGTAATGGAATTGTTAATTGGAGAGACGATGAGTTTGTTATAATCAATTCCTCGCAAATATCCTTGGGAAATATAAGAATCAACCCATTTTCCCTCCGGCTATGGGTTAATTAGTAAGTCATGCATCACTTAATCATTATTAACTAAAACAAAGTTCTTACAATATAAAAATATTTTCTGATTTTAAATAACCTGCAAATATTTGATAAACCTTAGAAAACAGATCAACAAATCAATCAATCCTGTGCGTTCTGATTGGTTGTTTTTTTTCTATTTTAATGCTTGCTTCTAAACATTGTTTCTAAATTTTCAATCTCATGACTCTTCAGAACGTAGGTTATCATAGCTCTCCACAAATTCCTTTATTTTTATTATCATTCAATTACCATGCATTCTTGAAAAAGATAGTTTACTGGTGACTGGTTTCCTTCTAATTCGGCTTTAAATTCAGAATATATTTTTTGTCTGGCTTCAACTTAAGTTTAGACACCTCATTCTACCCTGCTATTTACTCTATATCTAGGGGGGAGAAGAAAAGGAATTGTGCTTTTCCCAAGAACATTAGTGGCAAGTAAACACAAGAAAGGGATGGAACTTGAAACCCGCTCGACAAGTCCATTTTCCAAGCCAATAACCGTTACATAGCCTACATATTAAACATTTACCACATCAATTTCTTTCATTGGAGATTTCATTTTTTATCATACATAGAATATTCGTAATTTATCAGCAATTTGTGTGTGCAGGTAGCGTAGCAGCAGCTCGCAAAGATAATTCGTGAGCCGGAGCTCGAATATCAGTCGAGTTCGTTGCATTTACGTTCACACCAATTTCCACGAGAAAGTTATGAATATCTCTTCCGACTTCTCCCTTAAATATGGATAAAACAGCAGGGAATACAAGCAATTTTTAGCCGTGGTTGACAACTAGTTTAGATATTGGGTAACACTGAATTCAGCCACTTGCTGTAAATAGATGATTCGATATAGGGTGCAGATATTGTGTCTGTAAAACGAAAACGATACATTTCAATACCTATGGATAGTTCTCCTGGAAAGTGATTATCCAGAATGCTGTTGACACCAACGGCCATTGGGCTCAAGCAAGTTTTCATTGTGCTATACTTGCCATAATTCATGATCGCTAACATTGATGCAAGTGACTAGATATAAGTCATGTATAATATAAACGACACTCGAATTTGCTTTTAAAAAATCTTTGTCAAATTTTAAAATATAATTTAGACGTCAAATACAAGCTTGAATTAAATTTTGATGTAGTTTCAACATGTTTTATTCGAGTTGTTGGATTTATTATAAAAAATGCAGTCTGAAATTATTGTGTGGATTAAATTAATATTACTTTAAAGCCTCTGAAATATAATAAAAACTATTTTTTCCAGAATATATGTTGAAACATGAAAAATAGAAAGGATATAACAAATGCTGAAAAAGCAGAAAAATAGCAAATTTATTGAATGAGGGAATGTCCACATTGGAGATATCAAAGGGGCTTTGCGGAGATCAAGGAACGATAAAGAGGGCTGTTGTAAATATAACAAAATTGAAAACTAGAAGCAAAGGAAAAGGATTTAAGAACTTGTCTCTCCGAGAGGAATGTAAACTAAAGCAAGTCATAACGAAGACTACCACTTTTAACCAGTGCTCAGTTCTTTGAACAGGCTGGAATTAAGAGAGGCAAAAAGGACAAAATATATAGAATACTTAACAAATTGAGATCTGTCAAGAAATCTCCTAGGCAAACTTCTTTCAGCAAAGCGAATTTTTTAAATTGTCAAAATTGGGCCACAAAATACATGAAAAGTAATTTTCTGGTACGAATCTCAATGTGACACCCAATGATCCTAATGAATGGGCCAAAAACGAATCTCGATGTGACACCCGATGATCTTAATGAATGGGCCAAAAACGAATCTCGATGTGACACCCGATGATCTTAATGAATGGGCCAAAAACGAATCTCGATGTGACACCCAATGATCCTTATGAATGGGCCAAAAACGAATCTCGATGTGACACCCGATGATCTTAATGAATGGGCTGAAAACGAAACTCGATGTGACACCCGATGATCTTAATGAATGGGCTGAAAACGAAACTCGATGTGACACCCGATGATCTTAATGGATGGGCCAAAAACGAATCTCGATGTGACACCCGATGATCTTAATGGATGGGCCAAAAACGAATCTCGATGTGACACCCGATGATCTTAATGAATGGGCCAAAAACGAATCTCGATGTGACACCCAATGATCCTTATGAATGGGCCAAAAACGAATCTCGATGTGACACCCGATGATCTTAATGAATGGGCCGAAAACGAATCTCGATGTGACACCCAATGATCCTTATGAATGGGCTAAAAACGAATCTCGATGTGACACCCGATGATCTTAATGAATGGGCTGAAAACGAATCTCGATGTGACACCCGATGATCTTAATGAATGGGCCGAAAACGAATCTCGATGTGACACCCGATGATCTTAATGAATGGGCTGAAAACGAATCTCGATGTGACACCCGATGATCTTAATGGATGGGCCAAAGGATCTGCTGCAGATGTGCATGTGGCTAAATGACATCAGCAAAGAGACGGTGGTGTGATTATATGGAGTGGAATTTTCAGCCAAAACGTTTTTGGACCATTCAAAGTTGATGAAGGAGTTAGACTGAACAATGCTATCTCTACTTCATGGACAAACAGGACTTTCTTTGTGTGGTATAAGTCCCAGTTTTGCTGTTTCAAAGTTATGTGCGTATCTATGCCCAATAATGATCATTCTTATGTATCTAAGGTTACCCGTGAATTTTTGAGCGTAAAAGGTTTACAGGAGAAAATATAATGGAATGGCTATCATCAAATCCCAATCTGAATTCGATCAAAAATCTATGGTCACCAGTGAAGATGAAATTATATGTAGGTTGCAAACAATCTGACAGCAAAACAGACCCATGGGAAGCAATTAAAACCACTATGTCGGATAGTGAACTTACTGAAGTAAAGAACTTAACAAAATCAATGGATAATCTGTCCTGGGTATGACGATAAACTACATTCGCGTCCTGGGTAAGACGATAAACTACGTCCAACAGCAAGGCCTCTGATGAGGAGGTTTTGAGGAGCATGGAGCCACCTCTTAATTGCTAGCGTTTCCAGGTCCACCCTGACCCGGGGCGATAGCACCTGTTAGGGTCCCGGCTATGGACAAATAGTTATCACCTAAACTTGTGTAAAACTAGGTTTAATACCAGAAATACTTTGTAATAAAAAATTATTACTAGCAATAATTTTTGAAGGAAAAATTATTATCATCAATACTTTAAAAAAAAAATACCAGTAATACTAACAGCTGTACATTCTTATGAAGTTGGATTGTACTCAAAAATATGATTAACTTGAAAAATGGTTCAAATATATATGTATACATACACACCATTTTTTCCAAACTATCGCTATGAATCTATTTAAAAAATTTTGTTGGCATTAAATGACCCACTGAGGTTGATATACATTAAAACAACCAACCAATCAATGGATACTACCTTGCTGGTTGTTATTGCGATGAAGGGTTACTATATTAAGATGAAAATGCATAAAGTGATTTTCTGATTTTGAATAATAACTTTAGACTGCCGTTATTATAATGAGCCTAATAACCTAAAAAGCATGTTGAAGCTACATAAAAGACCGAACGCAAACTTTGATTTGACGTCTAAATTAATCGATTAAAATTTGATAAAAGATTCTTCAGCACAAATTCATAGTATTGAGGTTGATGTTATTTACATTAAAAAACCAAACATTAAAGGGCTTTTATATTGCGTCTCAGAAATTAGCTGAAAATTTTTATCTTCTGATCTGATATTCTAGTTATGTAATAAGTTTGAGTTATTCGGTGCATTCTATAAATATATTTTACATGTGTCAGGAATCGCATAAATTCTATATATAATCATTAAAAATACTGCAACTAATTTACTTAAGTTTAAACAAAAAGTTTAGAACGAAAATAAAGAGCTAGATTTTTCTCTTTATTAAAAAAATTGCTTACTTCAAACTTAGAAATATTTTTTAAAGTTATTCTTAAATAAACGACAATTGCTTTACCATTGTAATTGGCTTCAAACAAAAACTAGAACGATTATCAACCACTTTATGAAGAATAAAATATCGATAGACTCACTTTGATGTAATTATTTTAATTACGCTCAATAATACATATATACGCTTAGTATATATATATATATATATATATGTGTGTGTTTGTATGTGTGTGTGTGTATTTAATATTGGATATATTTTTCAGGTAAGGAAAACTAATCAAATTTACACCTAACAAGAGCAAAAAGTCTACCGCTAATTAGTACTGTAGAAAAGTACAAGCAGACAGATTTTCAGTAAACCATATCTGATAAAGTTGAAAAATTCTGATGTTTTTTCTTTCCTTTTTATCTTCCGCCTTCCCCTCTCTCTCTCTCTCTCTCTCTCTCTCTCTTTCTATCTCCCTTCTTTCTTCATTTCCCCTTTCACTCCATTCCCGTATGATACTTATTGAAGATGAACAATTAAACATTTTCTTCTTTTTTTTTTTTCGTTCGTTTTATTTTAATCAAATTAGCACTGATTTTCTTTTATCATTTCATTCTTTTACTTTCAAAGACATCTGGTTCTTTTTTACCTGATCGGCATTTAGATGTCTACCCGGTCCTTATTGATCCTAAGATAAATCAATTCACATAGAAAAGCCACCAGAAACTTAAATAGGACATCAAATAAAACAAATATTATTCTTCAATTAAAGCAAGAAATGTTTATAACCACGTTTTTTATCAATTATTTTTAACTTATGGCCGATATTTCCAGCCGCGTATCTTCATAACAAATCGAAGAAATCGGAGCTAATAGAATGTGAGCTTCAATAAAAGCTACGCATTAGTTTTTAAATGAGAATCACTGC